AAATTTTGAATTTTTTTACAATTCCCAATATTCAAACCCAAAAAAGTTTGAAAAATCGCGGGAAAGCACCAAAATTTCTTTGTTGCGTTGAGTTCTCGTGTCAGTCTTGTATTCATTCGTAAATTCATATTTTTGCCCCCGAGACCGGAAAAGTTCAAAAAAATTGGTTATCTTACCAAAATTTTGAATTTTTTTACAATTCCCAATATTCAAACCCAAAAAAGTTTGAAAAATCGCGGGAAAGCACCAAAATTTCTTTGTTGCGTTGAGTTCTCGTGTCAGTCTTGTATTCATTCGTAAATTCATATTTTTGCCCCCAAGACCGGAAAAGTTCAAAAAAATCGGTTATCTTACCAAAATTTTCAATTTTTTTACAATTCCCAATATTCGAACCCAAAAAAGTTCGAAAAATCGCAGGAAAGCACCAAAATTTCTTTGTTGCATTGAGTTCTCATGTTAATCCTCTATTCATTGGTAAATTCTTTTTTTTGCCCCCGAGACCGAAAAAGTTCAAAAAAATCGGTTATCTTACCAAAATTTTCAATTTTTTTACAATTTCCAATATTCAAACCCGAAAAAGTTTGAAAAATCGCAGGAAAGCACCAAAATTTCTTTGTTGCGTTGAGTTCTCGTGTCAGTCTTCTATTCATTGGTAAATTGATATTTTTGCCCCAAGACCGGAAAAGTTCAAAAAAATCGGTTATCTTACCAAAATTTTACATTTTTTTACAATTCCCAATATTCGAACCCAAAAAAGTTCGAAAAATCGCAGAAAAGCACCAAAATTTCTTTGTTGCGTTGAGTTCTTATGTTAATCCTCTATTCATTGGTATATTCATATTTTTGCCCCCGAGACCGGAAAGTTAAGAAAAATCGGTTATCTTACCAAAATTTTCAATTTTTTTACAATTTCCAATATTCGAACCCAAAAAAGTTCGAAAAATCGCAGGAAAGCACCAAAATTTCTTTGTTGCATTGAGTTCTCATGTTAGTCCTCTATTCGTTGGTAAATTCTTTTTTTGCCCCGAGACCGGAAAAGTTCAAAAAATCGGTTATCTTACCAAAATTTTGAATTTTTTTACAATTCCAATATTCGAACCCAAAAAAGTTCGAAAAATCGCAGGAAAGCACCAAAATTTCTTAGTTGCATTGAGTTCTCATGTTAGTCCTCTATTCATTGGTAAATTCTTTTTTTGCCCCCGAGACCGGAAAAGTTCAAAAAAATTGTTATCTTACCAAAATTTTGAATTTTTTTTACAATTCCCAATATTCAAACCAAAAAAGTTTGAAAAATCGCAGGAAAGCACCAAAATTTCTTTGTTGCGTTGAGTTCTCGTGTCAGTCTTCTATTCATTCGTCAATTCATATTTTTGCCCCCAAGACCGGAAAAGTTCAAAAAAATTGGCTATCTTATCAAAATTTTCAATTTTTTTACAATTTCCAATATTCGGACACAAAAAAGTTCGAAAAATCGCAGGAAAGCACCAAAATTTCGTTGTTGCATTGAGTTCTCATGTTAGTCCTCTATCCATTGGTAAATTCTTTTTTTTGCCCCCAAGACCGGAAAAGTTCAAAAAAATTGGTTATCTTACCAAAATTTTGAATTTTTTTACAATTCCCAATATTCAAACCCAAAAAAGTTTGAAAAATCGCGGGAAAGCACCAAAATTTCTTTGTTGCGTTGAGTTCTCGTGTCAGTCTTGTATTCATTCGTAAATTCATATTTTTGCCCCCGAGACCGGAAAAGTTCAAAAAAATTGGTTATCTTACCAAAATTTTGAATTTTTTTACAATTCCCAATATTCAAACCCAAAAAAGTTTGAAAAATCGCGGGAAAGCACCAAAATTTCTTTGTTGCGTTGAGTTCTCGTGTCAGTCTTGTATTCATTCGTAAATTCATATTTTTGCCCCCGAGACCGGAAAAGTTCAAAAAAATCGGTTATCTTACCAAAATTTTCAATTTTTTTACAATTCCCAATATTCGAACCCAAAAGAGTTCAAAAAATCGCAGGGAAGCATCGAAATTTTTGTCGCGTTAGGTTCTCATGTTAGTCCTCTATTCAGTGGTAAATTCATATTTACCATGAATCCAGGATAAATAGTGTAATAATGTAAATATTCTTCATGATTCTGTTCTCATTTCATGATTCAAGGCACACCCTGGTATGACACCCGGTACAATGCTTAAAACATTTGGCTGGAATTTTGCTGGCATTGCGGTGGCGTAAAAATGCAGGGAACAATGCCACAATGAGCAAATCTTTGCAAGTTTCCACTCATTGTATATATGCTCATTGGTTGACCCTTATTCAATTCTCACTGCACGTGAGAGAAAAACTGTATCTTTCGATCTCTTTCTCCGGCCGACAGGGTGGAGGCAGCATGGAGGAATTATGTGCCGGAAACGTCAACTTCGGGAACGGCGTTTCAAGCGGACCATGACTACAATCTCGGAAAGGAGCAACCCAAACCCAAAAGGGCGAGGAGTGAGGTTGATGTGTCTTCATTCGGCGGTGGTGAATGTGTACCGGTCTACCCTGACCAGTAGTAGATCATGGACCATTATCATGTCAAAAACAATTTTCTTTAAAGTTAAGACTTTCGGGTTGAATACCTTGGGTAATGTGTTTTTATTTGTTTTGCACTGAACTGATCGACTGCGGTGATGAGAAGTCGGGTGGTAATGGCTGACAAAAATATTTCATAGGCTGTTTTGGGCATGGACTGTTTTGTTGAACACGACCGTACACCATATGTGTAGTGAGCTCGATATGGCGGACGAAAATGTCTAGTGGTAGAAAGACTATGTGTTCCAAGTTGCAGCAGAGTTTGGGAAATGAAATTGTCTCCCCTTGGCGTAGAACAAGGGCGCCCAACCCGTGGTGTGTATTGTATCTGAGTGTATTGACTTCAGTAGTGGAGCCCTGAAGTGTTAGAATCCCAATGTGTGTGGTCAATATGAGCTAGTAACCGTTGCACATCAGAGCGGGAGCCATGCGGGGAGGAGTAAATCCGAGAGGGAACATTTCCCCCAATTGCAGAGATGAAGAACATGTGGATATAGAACGAAAACTATCTGGGTTTCGTTTTTAGCTGGCTACATTTGAAAGCGAATTAAACTCGAGAGATTGTGACTCTGATTGAATTTTTTGTGTTATAGTGTGTTTCCTTTCATTTGTGCCAACTTTGATTTTCTTTCTTGTAATAACATGAGGAATGTGGACTCCGTCAGATCTGGACTCCGACCAACTCACTACACGTGAGAGGAAACTGTGTTTTCCGATCTTTTTCTCCGGCCATACATACATTAAGAATACATTACATTACTTGAATGGCCGTAGAGGTTGTAGGGTTGTACGATCGAATTTAAAAATATACAGATAAATTAAAAATATACACAAATCAGTAATGCTACCAAGAAAAAAAAACAGAAGAAACTCCCAAACAAAGACGGAAGGCGTTTATAAATCACCATCAAGGGTACACGCCCAAAACCTATTTTCATTGAAGCAAAAGAGCAATGCTCAAATATATAAACACGGAGGCCAAAACGAACTAGTATCAAATCTTTCACAGTACCGCCGAAGTCTTATCGAAAAAATCACTACTTCGCTGATCACCAGATTGCTGAAATGCGATCGTGGAGACGCCCCATGGTTTGCAATTTTTAATTTTAATGCTGTCATCACATAGAACTTCAAAGGAATAATCGAATCCCTTGGAGATTCGCAGGAAAGCACCAAAATTTCTTTGTTGCGTTGAGTTCTCGTGTCAGTCTTCTATTCATTCGTCAATTCATATTTTTGCCCCCAAGACCGGAAAAGTTCAAAAAAATTGGCTATCTTATCAAAATTTTCAATTTTTTTACAATTTCCCAATATTCGGACAAAAAAAGTTCGAAAAATCGCAGGAAAGCACCAAAATTTCTTTGTTGCATTGAGTTCTCATGTTAGTCCTCTATCATTGGTAAATTCTTTTTTTGCCCCCAAGACCGGAAAAGTTCAAAAAAATCGGTTATCTTACCAAAATTTTCAATTTTTTTACAATTCCAATATTCAACCAAAAAAGTTGAAAAATCGCAGGAAAGCACCAAAATTTCTTTGTTGCGTTGAGTTCTCATGTCAGTAGTTCTATTCATTGGTAAATTCATATTTTTGCCCCCGAGACCGGAAAAGTTCAAAAAAATGGTTATCTTACCAAAATTTTCAATTTTTTTACAATTCCCAATATTCAAACCCAAAAAAGTTTGAAAAATCGCAGGAAAGCACCAAAATTTCTTTGTTGCGTTGAGTTCTCGTGTCAGTCCTCTATTCATTGGTAAATTCATATTTTTGCCCCCAAGACCGGAAAAGTTCAAAAAAATCGGTTATCTTACCAAAATTTTCAATTTTTTTACAATTCCCAATATTCGAACCCAAAAAAGTTCGAAAAATCGCAGGAAAGCACCAAAATTTCTTTGTTGCATTGAGTTCTCATGTTAATCCTCTATTCATTGGTAAATTCTTTTTTTGCCCCCGAGACCGGAAAAGTTCAAAAAAATCGGTTATCTTACCAAAATTTTCAATTTTTTTACAATTCCAATATTCAAACCCAAAAAAGTTGAAAAATCGCAGGAAAGCACCAAAATTTCTTTGTTGCGTTGAGTTCTCCTGTCAGTCTTCTATTCATTGGTAAATTGATATTTTTGCCCCCAAGACCGGAAAAGTTCAAAAAAATCGGTTATCTTACCAAAATTTTCAATTTTTTTACAATTCCCAATATTCGAACCCAAAAAAGTTCGAAAAATCGCAGGAAAGCACCAAAATTTCTTTGTTGCATTGAGTTCTATGTTAGTCCTCTATTCATTGGTAAATTTCATTTTTGCCCCCGAGACCGGAAAAGTTAAAAAAATCGG